ACACATATTTACACACACACCATAAAAGTTTGTATGTGTGGGACATACAAACTCTTATAATATGAAATGATATTATATCATACCTACTTTATACACGAAGTGTAATGATAAATAAGTTAGATTTATATGACTTCCTTTTTACAGCCTGAACTTAAATACTAATCTATACTTCTGTTCTAATATTATAAATGTGAAAGTTTCTGAGTATGGATGTGTGTTATTCATTCACGCCAGAACGGCTGAGCAGATCTGGATGAAATCTGGCACAGAGATAGATTATAGTCTGGAATAACACAGAGGCTTAATTTAATCCCGGAAAAATGTACGGTTCCCGTGGATAGGTTTGTTTCGGTTTTCCTAGAGGCGAACCCGAGCGAATCGAGGATAACCCGCTAGTATAGTATATTTATTATCGACTGTTAAATGTATCGGAGGGTTATTGGCTACGATGCTTCTTATTTAATACTGGCGGCTGTCCGACTATAATTTATCTCTGTGCCAAATTTCACCTAGATCCATTCAACTTTTCTGGCGTAATTGAGTATCAAACATGTAAACTTTCATATTTATAATATTAGTAAGATAAGATTTTATAGTTATAACTTTACTCCATCAATTATAAGTTTAGTGGTGATATGGTATAATGTATGAAAGAGTCATCAGTTTGTTTCGTATTAACGACGGATTTAGGACGAAGCATGCTGTCATAGATTATTTAATACTAGTGACTCACCCTCGTCGGTACGTTTTAATTTTTTTGAGCGGAACAATATTTTTTTCTAAAATAAAAGTAGCCTATGTTACTCCCTATAACATCAGCTATCTTGTAGTGAAAATCCCGTCAAAATCAGTCCAGCCGTTTAATTTCTGAAGAGATTATCCGGAACAAACAGAGAGACAGACAAAATTTTTAAAAATTTGTGTATTTCTTATAAGTACCGTATATAATTTCATATGCATTTAGTAAAACGCTGTTATTTTGACATTACAAACAGACACTTCAATTTTATTTATCTGTATAGACTATCTTCTAACTCCCAATGCCAAATTGCCGCCTGCACTAATGTATGTTTAGGTTCATTTATAAACAAATATATAGGTATCCTGATTCCGTGTAAATTTATTTACTCCCTGTCCAAACCGCTGGACGTAGTAGATAAAATTTTTGACATTCATGGAGTGCAAACGGGCCTTATAAAAATAGAAACCAGAAAACAATAAGTAACTTTGTAACTTTATGATTAGTAGGTAATGTCACCGACCAAGCATAAAGCAACAAAGTACAAGTATATATCAGTCCGGGTAATGAAAGGATCGGTAGCGTTATGACTGCACTAATGGGTTAGAAAGTGTGGAAGCCCGTATGAACGGAAATGATGGAATTAATGATATGAACAATCTTTGAAATGCAAATCCACTATGACTTATTGCTGGCGACTGCCTATATTTGTTATGTAGAACATGTAATTAAAAATATTTATTAATTACATAATATTTTTAGTAAATAAAAAGATATATTAATTAAATGTTTATTATGATATAGATAGAGCCCTTAAAGTCCATTATCCAAACTAAGTGTTAGACATCACTTTACTAGCAATTAATTGTTGTTTAGTTTTACATAGAAATACAAGAATGTTTTGAGGATGTTTTTTTCAAAAAAATTAAATTCAAGTATTTTCTTTCATAAGATATTCAAATGCAATGAATTTACTTACTAAGACTTTTTAGATGACACGTTTGGCTCAGTTTGTAGTGACCCTACTCGCTGTGCCAGCGGTGGCGAGTTCGAGTCCCGCTGGAGGCTTATATTTGTGTGATGAGCACGAATGTTTGTACTCCAGTCATGGGTGTTTATATTTATAATATGTATTTAAAGTTATATATGTGTAGTGTATCAACTATCCTGTATCCATATCACAGGTCTCGTAGCTTACTATGGAACTAGATGATGTTGTGTGTTAATGTCCTAACATATTATAAAAGATTTACAATTATATTATGTTTCTATTAAATATTCATATTACAATTTTTACATAATTCAATAAGTATGTAAGTATAGTTGGTAGTATTGTATACTTTCTATTTTTTCTCTTATTATGAGTATGTAAAATTGTTTGAAATTGATTGAAATTAAACTTTGCATAGACTGTAGAGCAACGTTATTGTCTCGCATTTATACTTTCATGACACACTTTGTGTACGAAGTCACTGAGTTTTCCAAGTATAGTTAATATTTTTGTTATAATGAATTATATATATTCTAATTTCTATTTAATATTCTAACATGTCAACTTTTATATAGGATATTTTATTATATCTCGCTTGGGAAACCGAGTGGAGCGGATTAAAACACAGCGGGTGCAAATCATTCTCAATTCTCAATATGATTACCAGGTGCTTTACGATGAAGGAAAGTATCGTGAGGAAATCTACATGCCTGAAAGAACCAAGAAACTCCACAGGCAAAACTAGGGCTCTATATATCACATAAAACTTATTATATAGTTTTCGAATTATTAATTTTCATATTGTCTTCCTGTCGTTACTCTTACATTGCAGTTTTTGTATTTTTTCTCAGAAATGAGATATCCAGCTACCATCATACCAAATTCCATCAAAATCCCTCCACTGGTTTTTCCGACAGACAGACAGAGAGACAGACAGACAGACAAAAATTCTAAAAACTATAGATTCGGCCTCTGTATCGATAACAATGTCTATTGCAGTAAGATTTTCCAAAAAAATATTTGATGTACAGATTCGGCTTCGAATTTTATTATATGTATAGATATCATATAATAAAATTACTAATTAACCTTTCGTTCTATTACTATATTCCTTTCTATAGGTGAAACAAATTAAAAATGATACCTACTTAAGCTAATGCAGATTTACAAGTACATACATACATTACATCAGCTATACTAGTGGCTATCATCATGAGACGTGGTTACGTAATTGAAAAATATATTATAATTACATATATTTGCATTATTAAATCAATATGAAAATAGAGTTGTTGTAAATACCTTCTTTCATTTGTTTGCTAAATAATTACTTTCAAATTGTGGTTTTTGTGATAGCTTCTTTACACTTTCGAGAGCAGTCAATTAGTAACACTACTGAAGGCCTGACATGAGAAAGCAAAACAAACATTTTCCAATTCACATCAATTCTATCACAATTATATTATGTTCTTTTGATAAAAGCTTATCTATACTAATATTATAAAGAGGCAAAGTTATTGAGTTTGTGAATTGTGAGTTTGTGACGTTGTAGGGGAAAATCTCTGGTTATAGTGAACCGATTTAGATGAAATTTGGTAAGAAGATAGTCTGAAACCCTGGGGAGGATATAGCATGAAAGTTTGTATGGGATAACAACCTAGAGACGAACCCGAGCGAAGCGAAGGTGAGTCGCTAGTGTTATTATAAATGAGCGAAACTTGTTTTGTATACTACAACACTTCAACTAGAAAACCTTGATGCATTACATGCTTTCTTTGGAATTCTCCAATACCCAGTAGCAACTTACTTTTCCGTCTGTAGAGAAAGAAAACAATTGTAACTGTGATATAGCGGTATAAGGAATTAATTGGTTAAAAGTATTCATGATTTATCGGAGCGAATGCATAGTACATAAATATTTATAAAATTGCTAAACTGTTGTTTCACTGATGCGCAACGAGCGGGCGCATACCGCCACTGCCCACCGCGACTGCAACGCGGCACGGACAATAGACAATTATTTAATTTCTATTGTCCATAAATAATATTGAACGCAAATTTTTGCCAAGTTCACATTTTTAGTGCTGTATCAATTTTGACACGAACTCATTTAGTGCATAAATGAAGTGTATTCAGAAAAATGGAAAATATTTATGGTGTTATACGGACGTTGAGCAGGAAAACGTTAAAACGAAATAAAAAGGTATATTAAAATTTTATAAAATAAGAAAAATCGAAATTTTAACCATTTTCAAAAGTTGTCCAATAAACATATTTTAAAATTCTGTTTGTTAACTTATTATATATCTAATAATATTACAATATTTATATAGTTTATGTCCATATGTATAACGTACCTACTTTTGATTGTTTTTCATTATTTTTTCAACTAATAGTATTAATTAAATTATTTCTTTATATACCTATATATCATGAAAAATTTATCATCACTTAATAAAATTGTTCACTAAAATTCAAAATCTTTCTGATTCTTTAGGATCGGAATTTCTTCTCATTTAAAATATAATTTTTCTTTTAAAGTATAGTCTATTAATATCTATAAAAAATCAATAAGATAAATTCAAAAGCATCAATAACAAAGATTAAAGTGTACGCCCAAGGGTGCCCTCGTAAAAACTTAATATAGAAAGAAAACCTTATTTGAAATCAGATAGTAACAAATATCAATAAATTATTTCTAGGGTAGATAAAACGTTCTTAAAATAAATAAAAATCTCAGAAAAAAGTTTTAAAATTTTGCTCTTGTTATATTAAGAGACAATACAGAATACTATATTATTTTTGTTTATTTTATTCATTTAGTAGATTTTATTTTCTATTTGCTTTAACATTAAACTATTTTAATTATTAATTATTATTATGTAATCTCATTTTCTGAAAGCAATGCGTAAAGAAACTATGTAGGTTGATGATATATTTTAACTTCATCACGCTTTCGTGCGCGGCTCGCGCCTGTGTTGAGATACCATGGCATTGTTCGTAGAGAGAACTATTTTAAACACTTTACTATTTAACTGCTTATGATTAATAATACAAAATTGCCCATAACATCCTACAGGCAGATAAAATTTCAAATGCTGTGAGTTATTTTAACCAAACATAGATGTAGTATAGGCTTGCATTAACTTTTACTCTAAGAGTAGATACGAATGCAAAGAGTGTGATCACATTTAATGCAGTAACACTACAACGTTAATTAGGTAATACATATCGTAAAATAAATACTTATGGATTTTCGTCTTGTTTCAGATACAACCAAAACCAACAACAAATGGCATATCGAGCACAAAAGAAAAAGTCACGGAACGTGAAACGAGGGAAACTCGTGAATCGAGAGAGTCAAGAGAGTCTCGAGAATCAAGAGAGTCCAGGGAGTCCAGAGAGTCCAGAGATTCTAGAGAAATAAGGGAGCTACGAGAATCTCGTGATGAATCGGAAATAGAAATACGGGATAGGAGAGCTACGACGTCTTCACCGGTGCCAAGAGAACGTGAGAGGGATAGAGAGAGAGATAGAGAGCGTGACCGAGATAGAGAGCGAGACAGAGATAGAGAGCGTGACAGAGAAAGGGAGAGGGATATGAGGGACGAGAGAAGAGAGCAGTCTACCCCTCAACACGATGGACGACACCCACTGCTACAATTCGCCGTAGATCACTTCAGGCAGAGCCCAGAGTAAGTACTTAACATGATTGAGAAATTTATTGAAGTAAAAAGATATAATTAAAGCCCGAAAATAAGTTATGATTAGATATTTAATTGTCTTTTATTGCATGTTTATTTTACAGCGTTTTATATTTGTAACGTTATTTAGATTTAATCGTACATGCTCATACGTGCAAATAGTAAAAACAGTAAAATAATGACAATTATCAACTAGCACGCTCCCGGAAATCAATTATAAATCAAATAAGTGTTGTTTTTATAAAATATACTTTGTATGTAATAATGTTTTTATAAATAAAAGCATATGCACTTATGTACACGTCACTCTTGAAGCCATCAACTTCACACAGAAAACATATAAATTGAAATTCCCTGTGTACCTACGAGTTTAATTATAACGCGTTTTTCTGTGGGTTTGAGGTATTATTCCGCGGTAAAACGTTTCTTATTAATGTTACTCCGATTATTTCTATACAAATAATCATATTTAAATCAATTCAAACTTTTTTTTTATATTTTCAAATATAGTATGCAGCACTAGCGACTCACCCTCGCTCCGCTCGGGTTCATTCCTGGTTACGTTTTAACGATTAGTATAGTTTTTTCAGAGATGAAATATTTTCCTGCAGTAAAAAGTATCATATATATTGACCCAGCCAGCTATCATCATACCGAATTTCATTAAAATCTGTCCAGGGATTTTCCCATGATGCGTTCTCAGACAGACAAAAATCCTAAAAACTATAGTTTCAGCCTCTGTATCGATAATAATGACTATTTCAATAAGATTTTCCAAAAAATATTTAATGTACATTTTTCGGCTTAGTTACAATTTATTATTATATGTATAGATATATACATATTTATTATAAATATAAACACCCATGACTGGAGTCACATCACACGAATGAATCCCCTGCGGGATTCGAACCCACGACGGCTGGCACAGCAAATAGGATCACAACAAACTGAGGCAAACGTGTTAAGATAGGTATATATTTAATTATATAAATAGGTATATATTCCACACAATACCTTAAATGAATTTCGTAATACTTTGCTGCTCTATTTTGTTAATGTCTTTTATAAATTCCTGTAATTGTAACATTTTGCAATGAAGAAGCACAGGTCACTAACATAATCCATTGTTATATCACGTTCACATATATTGTGGCCACGGTATTGTTATTTCGGCGTTCATATTGCGTGCCCAATCTTACGCGGAATTACGTGTGTAGTGCATGCTTAGTGTGAAAGCAGCTTTGGGTACTTGTTACATTAACTTGTATCCATTCCATTTTATCGTAATCTAGATCTTACAAATATACTATAAAAATATCTAGAAAGCTAATTTGCACAGATATATACAAACTGAAATATTAATCTACTTTAAAAAAAAGTATATCGCCTTTAACGTTACGCTGATAATATAATTTGGCTAAACTCACATCATACAGATACTATCTCAATCGCTAATGCAAAATCTAAAAAATATCAGCCATATATTTAAATACCTTCATTAAATTAAGTAATGAGCAAATGGCCCAAAATTTTGAAAACAAAACGTAAGTGTTTAACCTAATATATGTGTATTTTCAATATAAAACGGTAACAAATAGTAAACTCGTAATAACTAAATAAGTATACTTTTAGTTTTTATTAGCGACATTTTAGAACGTCATCTTGGCTAATAAGGCTAGCTCGCAACGCTTTATTACGACTAAATTTGTAAGCTAGGTACCTACGTTTAACCTTTTTTTTTGTGTTGGGGAATGTTTTCACGCACACCTCCTGTAGACATACAGTTTGTTATATGGGACTCACAGCCTATAATTAAATGTCCGATGTTACGCGCCGCTAGTTTATTCGAAGACATCAAGTAAGCCTTTATACAACCTCTGTGGTGTTCGTCTACGTAGGTACCAGGCAGGCAGGAAAAGTATGACGACGAGAACATATTGATTGACATTTGGGGCGGGACGTATGATTTTCTGTTGTGTATATAAATTTTATTAATTACTGTCAATATAACGATTATATCAGGAAAAGTGTTTCATTGTTTTACATAATAGCCAGTACTACATACTAAAATCCAATAAAATCTCCCCCGTCTTAATGGGGCGTCGCAGGATCGCTTACGCACTCAACCATGATGCCCCGATGGCAGGTCTGCCGAAGCAGACCACAACAACCATGGGATTCCTCCAACAGTCCACTCTGCTGTCAGAGTAGTATCAGGAGAAACCCGCATGGTACACCGCCCACCGAAGTGGCGTTTAACCTAAATAAATTCATTTAGAATCTAATATATTGTCGATCGATAAAATAAATAAAAAAAATTGGTCTGAAATAACAGATGGCACATCTTTACCGTATGAATATCTTTATTTCTGTCTGATTTAAATAAAAAATGACATCACGCAAATACAAATAATAATCATCCATTTATTAATCAAATAGTAACTAACTTACTCGTATACATAAATCAATCAAGTCATTATGAATGAATAGGCAGAAATCTCAACAAATTAATAAAATACACAATCTACCAATTAAAATACAGGCGCAAGATTGAAAAGTTTCTAATATTTGCATACGGTTACAAAACCACTTAATGTACAGAGTCATTGGAAGAATTCGTATTATCATTATAATATTATTGTTTTCTATTTTATCTTTGAACTAGTGACTTACCCTCGCTTCTCTCGGGTGCTTCTAGGTACGTGCACTTAGCGTTGCTACAGTTTATTAAAAAGATCTTTATTTTTAAAAGGAATTATTCCGTAGTACATTGTTTTTATATAAATATATTACTTTACGCGGCGCAGGCAAATAAAGCTCTAAGTAGACTTAATTTTTTTGACATCTTGAACAATTCTCGTCATATTTCAGCCAATTTACACAAAACCTTAATGAATCAAGGAAGGAAACCGATATTTAATAAAAAAAACATCACAGTGTATTTTTATAATGATATACAATATAATGTAAAAGTTATTTATTTTAAAATTATTTACTTTTAAATTTCTAAAAATAAATATTTTTGAATAAAGTCTTAAGTACAACCCTATTGTCAGTATTTAGTCTACGTACACATGATATGAAGTTTCGAGCACATTTAATAAATATTTAATTATGAAATTAATTTATAATGATCATATTTTATTTTATTCTATTTCAACTAATAAAAATAAAATAAATTAAATTGTATTATCTATTTATATAAATAAAATAGTGATGAAACTTATTTGATGGTTTATTTAACGCACAGCGCAAAGGTTTCTGGTATAATTCCACTAATGCACGATAGATACATGGGGCCAATAAGATATAACCAATATTAATTAAGATGTATGTACGTATGTGTAGGCATAACAACCCTGGGATTGCTTACTATAGTTTTCAATTAAAAGCTATAGTGTATTGCACGCCTTAGACAAAGATCCACTATTTCTTAACATTGTTCTTCAACGACAAAAACCGTGTGGGTTCTTGTATTTGCATTCAATGTACACTTGGAATCCGAACCACTTTTATGACTGTATTTCTGTAATTATATATCTAGGGTTATGTCTTTAGCTTTCCATTTATCTAGAATCGACATATTTCTTATTAGTTTCTATATTAGGCTTATTTATATAAGTTTATTCGTTCGAATATTTGTAGTGTTTTTTTTTATATTAATATACATAATTACCTCCTTTGATTATATTAATTCTTATTATACCAAAATTTTGACTCAGTTGTAATAGTATCACACAAGTGGTATCAAAATATTATTATTTAGACGTACCAATTTACAAGTAATGTTTTATTCACTTTCATTGTTTTTATATTACCGAAGAACAAAAGGCTTATTTATAAAAACTAATGTGTAGAATTTCGTATATGTATAGGTAACGTAAATGTTCGTTTGAGCAAACTCCAAATCTTCGAATATTCCTCGCTGATTGCTTCAAAATTAACTAACATATAATTGATTTTACATGGGGGAGGTTTTTAATTTGTATGTTATCCATTTTAAGTCTATAGGTATAGCTAGTTAGTTAATAAAATATAATTTTGACTACATTGTATTAATTATTCTACTAATCACTAAATTATTATTCGTACTTGCTATAAATAATGAAATAATTTATTTTTTAAATTAGACATTTATTTTTGGTATAATGAAGTAATTATAAATAACTTAGCTTAATTCTCATACGAAATCCTAATAAATGACGAATTATTCGGTACATTGGGCAAGAGTTTAGTTCACGGACTTGCAAAAAACAATGGATCGTAAAAAGTTGTTTAGAAAAGTGCACAGCCCTAGTCAGTCTTGTTGAGAACATCGTTCGCGCGGAACGCGCTGAGAGTTGACTGGGGACGACAAGAGCGATCGGCCATGCCGTGCGCCGCCGCGGCGCGACTCACATACCGAATGCAAGTATCTGTCAAATTCGATTGACGTTTGCTTTTTTTTAAGTGTTGAAGGTAGGTTTTGTGTGTATCTATAGTGTGTAAAGGATAAGTGTTTTCTGTAATTTTAAATGTATTAATCCTTTATATTGCCCGACTTCTAACGCGACTCCTTTGTCTAATTATATTTTAATGAATGGGTTATATCTGGTATCTCAATTTCTTAATATAAATTAAAAAAAAATATTTTTTTAAGTGATTATGAATTAGGTGTACCTTTATGTGTAACTTAAAAACAAGTTCCATCAGAAATTATCCCAATAATAAAACCTAATTTTCTTTTTTTAAGTTTGAATAGAAATCAGTTAAATGACAGTATAATGCTTGTATAAATAGCGAAAGCTTTCAGTATCAAACATTTTTATCTTATCACGTACAACAATATTCAAACGATACTTTTATACATAACGATCTAAATTTAACGGTCAAAGATAAGATCAAAAGTCAGTGTTTTAAATTAACAAAATTTGTGGAATATAAAATTATCACGTAAAAATTTGGCATTCATTGATTTAAATTAGTTCAATTACATAGTTATTCTGGCATGAATTATATATATTTATGAGAATAATATACTAAATCGTAAAAAGAACTAGTAATAACAAACTCTACATATAGTTCAATGGGAGTCCAGACCTAATGTAGAGACATAAAATAATAATTAATACCTTTTTTTTAATACTTCTTTATGTTCTTAAATAAGCATGAGATATAGTTCCAAGTTGCTCATAAAAATATTCTTTAACTGTATCACTTAAGGGTAACAAATTATATTGAATATTATTATAAATATAATTACTGATAGATCATAATTTTTTATTTACCTAACATTTGCAGAAATATAGCCATGACTTCTTGTCGTAGTAAATTAAACGCGTATATAAATTTACAAATATGACCTAAACATTTATATTGATTATATTGAATTGGCCTCGTGTGTTAACGTCAAAATGCAAAGTTGTTCCAAATCGATTGCTTCGCCACTTTCGCTTATCGCAAACCACGTTCAGTATCGTATCGGCGCGCGAACGCAATGGCCACTGATGAAGATATTTCGGGGGACAGTTTGTCCGAAACCGACACATATAATTGCTCTATTAATTGTGAAGACATCAACAAACAATTGTGAGATTATTTCTAGTGTTTTTGTGAATTTTAATAGTGCTTTTTAGTTTTAGTGCAAAAAGAATATATAGATATATTTTTTCTGATGGTGTTTAAGTAATAATTTGTTTTATAAAGCCTTCTTAAACTACTTTGGATATTTTTAAATCACTTAATTGTAATAACAAATGCATTAAGGACTTTACTAAAGGGCACACCTAGATGACTGACTAGCTTTGGTTGCCCTTCAAACTGCATATTTCATTAAAATTCCTATCAATAAATATATTTTAACCTTAATATAGTATATATAAAAGAAAATCTATTGTTTTGTATTTAAATTATCAAGACTTTCAGATAATTTATATACACGCTTTGTTACGCAACCTAATTTCGTAATTATTTTGTGAGTAAATTAAAACAAATAACACTTTAATTGAATCTCACTCTTATGTATCTATTGTTTCTTTTATTAATTTGAGTTTTAACACTCTCTACTTTAAATATTACTATGCAAGCGTTGCTTATTTATTTTTTATAATGGTCAGCTGCACTCTCGTTGAAATCTTTTAGTTGAAATGTAATTTTGGAGCGCTTACAGAAATATCCTTAAGGATATAGGATTCCTTTTAGTGTTAACAAAGGTTTCCCGCAAATTTTTTGTATTTAGTATACGTTATGTATCAATGTAATCCTCTTTAAGCAAACTTAGATATAACATATTACAACGCATAGATTCTTGCACTACCGGTGTAATAAACAATTTCATAATGTAATACATCTTTCATCAACATAATTTACCGATAGTGTCAGTAATTGAATATTAAGTGTTTTATTATAAAAACTTAGAATTATTATTAATATCTATAGAATTATTTTAATTTATAATATCAATATCTTAATCCGTACTAATATTATAAATGCGAAAGTGTGCGTGTGTTAGTTTGAAAATATTTAATACAGCAATGATTTTACGATTTATTTTTGTATCCCATATGCTTCCAGCAAAGCCTTAGTACATAGTAAAAAATATATGAACACGCCTTTACTTTGCTCAGGGCTAGTTTCACTAATATTAGTTTCTATATAGAAATATAGAGTAATTTTTTGAAATATTGTAGTAAAGTATAATTTTAAATTTAAATACCAATTACTTTTAATCCTGTACTGTTTAAATATATTTCTATCTATCTATAGCTATAGGTAAATTGGATAATGTCTTTATCTTTACACTTTCACAAACAATTAAATTAGGTTTCCTTAACTTTAAACAATGATTACGAGTAGAATACCAAGTAACACCCTTCCTTCCATCATTAAAATAATTATATAAACGACAATTGGTCACGCCTTGTAAATGCTAAACGCACGCAAATGCACACAATAGAATAAATTAAATATTCATATGCCATAAAAACAATTACTTTGTACCACACAGTACCTATATAATGTTATAACATCAAGAAGTCGTTTCACTAGTATATAATGATTATGAATTTTGCTTGCACAGCCTATTTTATAATCGAGATTATTTAATACGTTTCTCCGAATCACTTAAAAAGTATGTATCTACACATAAAGCATATATGACCCTGATTGTTCTCATGTTCAATTATTTCTTGTACATGACAAACAGTTGATCAAGTGATCAACTGTTTCTATACATCGTTCACACATTTTTTTAAGTCTAACAAATAAGCAACAGTGGAAGATGATTTGCAACGGTACTGTGATGATGAATGCTATTAATGTTAAGTAAAGTTTTCTTTAATACTTCAGTATAGTTTTTTTTTTCAAAATACTGGCACGTTAACTACAATATCGTAACGACTAAAAATTAAGAAGTAAATTATTTTTATAAAAATTATTATTATCATCTAGTTAGCTGATTTTTGAAATTATCCATATGCCACATAAGGAAAACTCACTAAAATAATAAAAATATTTAATATCTTGTTCTAGCATATCATTTCTCTATACGAGGATATAATACTCTGTACCACCTGTTTGTTGTAATTAACGGATATCGTGGCTCACTCTTGCCTATAATCACGACTCATGTAACACGAAGTGAATATAATAGATATGTTGAAATGCGGAATATGCATATTTAGTCAGTTTTGACACAAATCAATACAAAATTGATGCCAATGCACGTACATGCATGTACTTCAGGGAAATAGTAGCGTAATAATACACACTTGTGTCTTACTCCATTTAAAAAAAATAATCATATATTATACTTTAGTATTAATATTCCACCTGAGAAAAAGTAATTAGGTCTAAAACATGACTTAAAGATACACTTAACTTTTTTACACGTACAAGTATATCTAATGATGTTATATGTTGTAATGATCATTATTATATTATATACTAGTAGTTATGCTGTAATGCTTGCTAATTACTATAAACATTATTATTTCAAAATAGCCCCGTTTTTAATATGGATTTAGATTTATCTTTATTATTTAGTTTAAAATTACTTGAATTTAGAAAAAAAACAGTCATTTTTTCCCTAAAAGAAGTATAACTTTAAAACCTTACGGTTAAATATAACATAAACTTTATTCTACTTTGAACGTTTGAAAAAAAAACAAGCACTCATTGATATTATTACTTTATATTAACATAATACATATTCATGAAAATCGGTAACGCAGAAAACGAACCTTTCTTAATCACGAATAAATTACTTAATATTATATAAATTCGAAAACGTACCTATATAGGCTCGTATCACGAAAAATGATTAATGGAATGCCGATATGTAAATTTAACTGCTTTAATAGTTGATACAGCTGAGATCAGAAGAGAATTTGTAGATATTTAACCTATATCCCTCCAATATTAGAAATGTATTAAAATGCCTATTTTAAACTTCCGATTTGATTTTCGAAAGTTAATGGAATTTCATAATATCTAAAAAAATTATTAAAAATTGAAGTAGATACACGAAAGCTAAGAACTAAGCTACGAGCGAGACGATAGATCTAAAAAAAATCCAAATAGGCATAAAACTTAAACTTATAAATATAACATAGTATTAATAAATCAGAATTTAAAAAACATCTTACCTAAAACGACAAGAAATAATGTCTTTATCATTCAATAACCGTTTACAAGGTTGTAGAGAGTTTGATGATCAGCTTAGTTCACGATGATAACGCGAAATATTACATTTGAAAGCTATTATTTAACTCTGGTTGAGTAACCTCTTATATATTAAATTCGTTTAAATTAAACTTTTTTAACTTCTACGATGTCAAAGTGATTTATGGTTTCACCTTGAATTATTTGTAGTGAAAACAAATATGAGTTCGTTATTTACTTTTTTATATGTAGTAAAAATATACTTTCAATCAATTTCTTACATAACTATAATTAAATAGTAAAAAAATATTTTCTTATCTTTATTGAATAATAATAAAAAATATTCTAAATAATATAATATTAAATAATTAAATAAAATAACTCGTACATATGTACATTCATATATATTTTTTATTATACTTCGCCAAGACATACTTTCATAATACACTATCAAGGTATTATTATTTTTTGATACTTATCTTATGATTACGCTCGAAATTTTATGTCTAATAAGCATTTCAATGCGAAGATTCTCACGCACCCTTTCTCTACAAATGCAAACTAAACTTTCAAGAGAAGGTGCGAAATAAAATCAAAATCATTTGTCAACACTTTTTATTTAATACATTACATGTATTTTAATAAAAAGGAAAAAAATGTATTAACACGACTTATACTAAAGTCCGCGTGCTAAAGGGATATATTGAAAGTCTAAGAAGAGTCATTACTCGATTATGAATCTTGCTTTTTGCTCAATCATTTTTGCCATTTAACCTCAATATATCCTCGTGTTAATAGAATGTAATCAATTTTACTGTCATTTCATAACAATCTAGTCTTAAATACATAAATTACTCATTTTAATTATAAAGAGACTATAATATTAGTAGGATTGGTAACTTTATTTTTTTTTTAATTATAATAATTTAACAATTTTCAACGCCCCACTGCTTGATACAGGCTTTCTTCAACGCGATTCCTGAATATATCGAGGGTGCGAGACTCGAGATCTGAACTCAAATCATTTGGTTTTTCTAACAGTGTGTATCACTGAGCTACCAACAGTTCCCGCCTCCTATTTATTGTTTTTAATGTTAATATTTTTATTGCAGATTAGAAATTCTGAAAGCAGATTCCTCACTGAAAAGTAAAGCTAAACGTAATGAATGGACATGGAAAGCTCAAACGGACGTTGTCAAATGGCAAGCTGCACCTCTCAGGGCGCCGCTACTGCGACTACCGGCAGCACTCGCCCCGCCCGCCTTAGAATGCTTCACTTGTATTCGAGCATACTGTGGAGACTTGCAACCGCCTGAAAGAGCGATTCATCAAGACTTAACTGAAGTTAAATGTGTTTACACTGTACTTATGGTAAGTTTGGACAACTAGATTTTAATTTTAAACCGTATAAGTATTACTTTAATGAATATTATTGTTTGTTTTTATATGTTTAAAACTTTATTGTCTTAGCAGAAATTTATTTATTGAAATAGGAAATAAATATAATATAACTAGTTTTTATATCTGAATAGGAACCTATGCAATTTTACACAGCATGCGTTATAGGTGGGACACGAAAACCTATAAAAAATTTCAAATGGGATTAAAAGTCTTATATATGGGATTGAAGAGAAGCAGAAATTTGTGTTAAAGGTCTTTTTGTTGAAGCTAGAAATATGGAAATTTGTACTCAGGCAACAGTTAACGTTTCTGATGCAAAATTCGTTGAATCGTTCATATAGACTTAGCTACATACATACATATGTATATCCATACAATTATACAACCCTAAATAACACTGTTTATTCCAGCATTGTCACTCAGTACCAGAACTACGCGATGAAGTGTACTGCCAGCTGATGAAGCAGACCACCTCGAACCGATCCCCCGCGCAGGACTCGTGCCAGCGAGCGTGGCGCTTCATGTCCATACTCGCTGCGTACTTCACATGTTCGGATACACTTAGGTAAAAAGAAACTTACATATTTAACAAATAGTTTCTTGTATAAACTTAAAAACTTAATTAATCACGAACATATACTTAATAAAACAATAAGTTTTTAGTCAACAAAACTGCTATGTATTAAAAAAAATGAACAAATGATGGTTTTTTTTATTATAATGTGTTAATGGAATAATATTTCTAAATTTAAACGTGAAATGACTAAAGTGCTTTATTTACACAGCTAACTTTTTTTAACCTTATATTAATAAGATGAAATAAGACTATGACATAGACCTTTTTGACATAGATCTTTGTACAAAATTTTATTAAAATCCATCCAGCTATTTTGGCGTCAAAGAGTAACAAACAAACACACACATTCTAAAATCTATTTTTTCTCATGATTAAAAAAATCAGCTCGAAGTAAACCCTAAAAATGTATACGTATGTGTATTTCAGACCGTTCCTGATAGAGTATCTATCAGCGGCGGCGGCGGACAGGCGGCGGCCCTGCCAGGGCACGGCGGCCGTCTGTCTCGCCAACTTCAGGAAGACGCTGCGCTGCGGCGGCAGGAAGAACGTGCCCAGCGTGGAGGAGGTGAATATATTATTACGAGTATATTAAAACTTTAAATGAATTATACAAAAGTATGACAAAAGTTGATACATTTTTTTGATAGAATTAATTTTATCCGATCATATTTATTGGTGTTTTTGCGAATTTAAATTAAATTTTTATTAGCAGTAATATTACAATCGCTTTAATTATTCGCTGAAACATACTAAATGATGCTAAACAAAAGAACGTGTGGGGTAAGTGGAAGAGGAGGGAATATGGTTATTTTTCACAAGAATCAAACGGAGGTAAACAATAATGTATATAATAACTCGTAAGAACCGTGTCTTATTCGAGACATTTTCATACTTTTCGAATATGATTATACAACAGCTTTAATATATTTATATTCAGCGAATAACATATCTAAGAAATAATCAATTAATTTTTCATGATTTCTATAACACAAAATTCCCTGCGCAGGTAAAAACTAATATCAATATTCTATAACACAATTATCGTGCGCAAGTAACCGCAGTATCATTAGGGCAGTTATCATTTTTTTATACTGAATTAAAGTTGTAATTAGAAAATTAAGACACATATACCAACTCAGGATTGGTGAATAGAAATTATATTTTAGTTTTACGGGTTTTACTTCTATCGGTTTTCTATAAGAAAGTTAAAAAGGGAAAAATTTTCTTTTGTATTTTTTGAAGTTATACTTTTTTTGGCACGTTTGGAAAAAATAATGACAGTAAAATTCAAACACACCGACAGCCAAAAAGCGACATGACGAAGTTAGCTGCATTCCTTTTACAAACAGAGAGTTATAACAAATGGGATGAAATCTTTAGCTATTTTTGTTCTGTTATGCCAAAGAAGTATAACTTCTTACGTGCGTACATAAGTACACACACACGTTTTTTTTTAAATTTAATGTAACCCTATCTGGACTTATTCAGTCTACCTATTAAAATCTAGTTACTATTAAAACTTGGAATATATGAATGATATCCCTGCACAGGTAACGGCAGTGTCGGCCGGGCGGTCGGCGCGGCGCCAGCTGTACCGGCTTCCGGGCGGCGCCGAGCGCGTCGTCAACACTCGCTGCGCCACCGTCGTGCAGGACATCGTCAACGAGCTCTGCGACCTGGTGGGTTGTGTTCCCATACTGTGTGTTTTGCACACATCATTTAACTAGCGATTTTAAACTGTGCCTTACAGTAGCCTATATGTTACTGTAGGTTCACGTTCATAATATAATGATAGTTTGATAAGAATAAACTAATACTTTCTTAGATTTACGCGAATAAACTAAACAGATAATCGTTAAAAACAAAAAGTATTTATATTTGTACCTTGAAGCTAATTAATTAAACGTGAATTTTTTTCTACATATGATATCATTAAAAAGCAACTCATAAATCAGAAACTTTAACAACCTAAGTTTGTTACTGGAAAAAATGAATGAATTAATCGATAATTTATAACATCAGATCGGCGTGAGCAGCCCGGCGGAGCGCGCGGAGTTCTCGCTGTACTGCATCGTGGCGGGCGACGCGCTGACCATGCCGCTGGCGGGCGACGAGTACGTGCTGGACGTGACCACGGAGCTGCAGCGCGCGCACCATCCCTTCTACCTCATCTTCTGCCGCTCCGTGTGGCACCACGCGCTGCGCCAGGACGCGCCGCCACTGTACACTGAAGTGCTGTTTAATCAGGTACCCCCATCACCACGCATGCATGCTTTTCTTTCTTTTTTTAATTTTTGAAGGGAAACTTCTTTAGAATTGTTGATTTGAAACTACATAGATGAAACGAAAATGCGACATGAGAAAGAGACAAACACATGAATATATAGGATTAAGCCGGCGAAAGAATGACATAGAATACATTTCACAGGAAGTGAAAAATAATACTGAACATGTAATTAATATATATGTTAAATAAATTAATGAAAAATAGCTTTGAAACTTGCTAAAAAATAAACTTATTACTTATAAAAAAGAATATTTATTACTGTCGGATGAATGTGCATAAATTAAATAAAAGCTATTATGACTAATTGTTATCATGGTAACCGTTGTTTAAAAGTTTTACTTCTACTGCGTGTAATCTGCATACGTTTTAGTATATTTTTTGAAATGTAAACTTCTATAGGCAGGTTTGGATGGGGAGTAAATTCATGTAAGTCGTCATCGACATGGTCACGTAAATGTCAAAGCCAGATAAATGTGAACAGTTTTAATTTACAAATTTTAATTTATGATCAAACAATTAATTTGAATATCCAAAAATAACAAATGTTTTATTTCTTATTTAGTTTGCGTGACAGCTGTTCTCCAGTTCTCATTTCTTTTACTGAATTGAAATTTTGGTTGAAAAATATTACAGAGATACGGAACGACAGTAAATAGAGAAATTATATTTTAGTTCTATGGGGTTTATTTTAAAAGAGCTTTATATCACGTATTTTTAAATGTCATGTTTAATTCATTATTCGGAAGAAATTAGAATGTTTCCATTTTTAATTAAAAACTTAAATCGTAACCTCATCGTCATCATAATCGTAAATCACATTAAAGGTGGCGCCAGACTACCTCGAAGGTCTCCTCCTGGTGCTCCCCGGGGGCGGAGCGCCGGGCGCCGGGGTGCTGCGGGACGCTGCGCTCGTGGCGGCCCTGCTCCACCGAGCCGCTGGTCTGCCGGATGCTCCTCATCCTCGGGACCTGAAGTTCCTCCTACCGAAACCATTGCTGGCTTTGAGGGAGCCGAAGCCGAATAAATGGGCGTCGTGGGTGTCGGCCGAATGGCCCACTGTTAGAACGATGACGCCTGCCGCCGCTAAGTCTAAAGTGCTACAGGTAAAGTTTTTTTAATAGAAAATACATAAAATATATTGAATGTATAATTTATAATTATATAATTGATGGATTAACTTGAACCAATTTTATAAAACTATTGAAAATAATTTGAGTAATTTCTTTATGGTCTTATCTCATCTAACTATATTATACTCATAATAGGGAAACTTTCTGAGTACCACCGTGTGTACGTTACAGTAAGCGTACATTGAGTTGCGAAACTTTGTATGATGTTTAATTTTTTGGCGGATTTGTATAGTATACGGATAGACTATTTTACCTAGAGTATCTGAGCAAAGCCAGAATAAGTCACTAGTCTCATAACTATCCATTATCACAGGTATTATCCCGTTGGCCGTTATTCGGCTCGTCGTTCTTCGCGGTGCGTCGCGTGAGCGGGGCCGGCGGCGGCGGCGGCGGCGAGTGGCGCGAGTACGTGCTGGCGCTGAACCGGCGCGGCGTGCACCTGCTGCACCCCGCCACGCACGACACCGACGCGCACTGGCCCTACGCCGACCTCATATCTACTAGGAAGGTTAGTAAGATATACTGTACAATATACAAAAGCGATGGGCGATTATTACTAAAACTAATCGAATAAGTCGATTGTTCAGTTTAGTCGATAAAAGTCGATAACAATCAATGTATATTTATAATTTATGTATGTATTTAAAGTTATATATTGTATCAACTGTCTGATATACATAACACAAGTCTCGTAACTTACCATGGAACTAGATGGTGTTGTGTGTTAATGTCCCAACATATTTATTTATTATTATTACTAGCATTGCCCGCGGCTCCGCCCACGTTCAGATGACCAAAAACCAAATTCTTAAATTTTACATATTAGTATACTCTTACATTGCAGTTTTTGTATTTTTTCTCAAAAATGAGATATTTTTCCGCGGTAAAAAGTATTCTATATGTTGACCCGGATAACCAGCTATCATCATACCAAATTTCATCAAAATCCCTGCAGTGGTTTTTCCGTCAGACAGATGGACAGACAGACAAAAATTCTAAAACCTATAGATTCGGCCTCTGTATCGATAATAATGTCTATTTCAATAAGATTTTCCAAAAAATATCTAATGTAGGTACAGATTCGGCTTAGTTACAATTTTATTATGTGTATAGATTAATGTTATTCGATTATTATTGACTAACGGCGTGCAGCGGGCGATAATGACTTGAAGGGGAACCTTCAACGTGTTAACTTTAACTACTAATTTGCGAAATTAATATAAAAATCCCTAATTGCATTATAGTTCATACATTACTAAGTTGACTAAAAACACTTAAAAAGACAACTTGGGCGAAATTGGTCTTACTAACACTTTTACAACACTTAGTTATTAAAATATGTTACTTAAGATCAATAGTATTCATTATATAATATATAATATAAATGTTGGTAACGTCCAGGTGCGGTCGGAGGACGGCACGCTGTTCCTGGACGTGAAGTGCGGGTCGCTGCTGCAGCAGCGCGTGACGCGGCTGCAGGCGGAGCAGGCGCACGAGGTGGCGCGCCTCATCCGCCAGTACATAGCGCTGCAGCGCGACCAGCGCGACCACGACCCGCGCGACCACGACCGCGACCACGACCACGATCACCAGCACGACCACCGGGACTCTGGTTAGTTATGTACTATTTAAAAATAACTGGAATTCTCAATTAACAAATGACCATTATTAATTATATATCTTACTGTTTTGACTTATATCTGCGATCACTTGTAAAATATGATTGAAACTTAAAATCAAAAAAACTTGTTTAATTTATCAAAAAAGAATTATATCATCAAAAATATACAAATCAGTTAAAACTTAATACAAAAGTGACATTTATTCACAAGTAATTTCTCAAAACGCTTGTAACTTAATTGCATTGCAAATGTAATTGTGGAACTTTACACGTGTTACATATTATATTTTAATAACGGGTTTTTTTTCACAAAAATATTAGATTGCACTTTTATATAGAGACTACAAAGAAACGAAATACAAGTATTAGTAGCAATTATTTAAACTGATGTATTCTCCAATTACGTGTATAGTAACAACATTAATTAATAATATTAATAATAACAGCATGTGTATAAGACAATATTTTCAATTTTATTTCTTTTTTTTTTCAGTGTTTAGCCAGTGACGAACTGATGAAAAGTATTTGGAATCTTAACTCGGAAGTACACTAGTTTCATGAACGAATTAACCACAATTCGTCCATGACTAGTTTTTACTAGTTCTTACTCGAACCTCAAAAATCTGTCCACTTAATTAGATCTGAATGTAATAAGTGTACTTAAAATATATTCAATATTCTATATGAAAGATTAAAATGAGAATAGGATCGTTTAATCATATTGTAATAATAAGAGAAATTATAAAACCTCTTTTCTATTTTCATTTTAGTCAAGTCTTAGGAAATGTTTACGATGAACAATTATCTGTATTGAGCCAATTATAAATATTATACCAATTAAATAAACGAAAATTATTATTCATTGATTGATATTACATTAAATATATGTGTATTTGAATTATATTTACTTTTTGTTGCATGGTTAAATAATTGTTAGTGTTGCTATATCTGGAAAATTATTTTTTAACAATTAACAGCAATGAACAGCAACACTGCATTTACAGCGAGAAATCATTTAAATGTATAGCTCATCTTTGTTCTACATGAAAAATAGTTTGTAGGTAGAAATAAAAATTTTGTTTATGGAATTCGTATTATGTTGTCTATAGTATCGCTATTTCCGTCGACAAAACTGTTAATTAATCATATTCTATGTAGTTTGGTGTAATTACCATATATTCTAGTGTCTTCCTCTGTATTTGGAAAAAGGTGCTATATCTAGTTGCTATCAACCAGGGGCATAAATGACAATAAAATAAAATCCAGTTTTTGTAATACGGTAATAAAGATTTTATTACATATTAAAATCACAATAGATTTGTAAATGCGTGAAAGGTTTCAAATGAGGTCATTGACCTTTAACATTATTTCAAATACATAATTCTGAAAACTATGCAAATGCAAGTTATTTATTAATCATCCTTTGTTTTTTTTTATTTATTCTATTATAACAATAGTCAGCCTCTGGTTTTATTATAAAACTAAATGTGTATACAATTAAGTATTTTATAAAAATTTCCAAAGACCGAACGGTCGAGTCATAATTTTTGCATATAAATGATATATTGTCATGTAATATATTTAATAAAACGATGTATGAATATATTGTAGATAACAATAAAGATTTATTTTCAGAAGCGATCTGTTTAGTTTCCTTATCACAATATTAATTAACATATACAAACTCTTCGTGCTAGTTCGAAAATGACGATTAGCAAGGGCCATGCAACCGAAGACGGAATTGGCAACACAAGTCTAAGTTTGACATAATAAAAAAGAATTGGCCTAGTGCGAGCCGGACTCGCGCATGAAGGGTTCTGTACCATTATCCATAAAAACGGCAAAAAGATCATGTGCTGTTGTATGGGAGCCCTCTTAAATATTTATTTTATTCTGTTTTTTAGTATTTGTTGTTATAGCGGAAACAGAAATACATCGTCTGTAAAAATTTCATTTGTCCAACTATCACGGTTCATGAGATACAGCCTGGTGACAGACAGACGGACGGACAGCGGAGTCTTACCCTTTGGGTACGGAACCCTAAAAAGTAAAAATTTCCAGACAACTTCCAAGCAAAAAAAAAAAACAAAAAAATATGGTTTCGAACCCATGGTTACACTGTTTTGTTACACTGGTGTAACTACTGATCTTTGTGACCGATGGTTACACTAATGTAAAACCAAGCGGTGTCACATTATTACATCAAAGACTATTTATTAGGTACATATATGTTTCAAGAAAACAGACTATGATATACGGTTGCGTTAGGTAAGTTTTATTTTTTGATTATGCTACAGATCCGACTTGGGTAACGTAGGTTGAGAAGGCTAAGGCGGGAGCTACGCCTTACTCGGAAGAACCCTTTCTTTCTTTTGTCTAAACCACTAAAACTTGTAAAACAAAAACTGCTTTAGAATCCAAATATTAAACGAAAAATTTATAAATGAACCTAAATTTCAATGACTAACCTAATAATAATCAAATGCTATTTTATATTATTTTAATTTATATTTTTTTCTTAGTGTAACCACAAGTCATAGATGTTACACCAGTGTAACCATAGGTCCAGTGTCAAAATTATTAAACGGAAAACATCATTTACTATAGATACTATAATTAAAATTAATTGTAACGGATTTCGTGTTATGATTTTTTAATTATTAATTCCCACTCGGCTCGGCGATTCCCTCCTCCCCCTCTTACCGCGTTGAGCTCATATTTTAATTTTTAATTTTGGTATAAAATTAAGACGTACCTATATTTTAAATAAAGATTTTATTTTCTTTTAAAAAATCTGAATATTTTATTTTTAATTAAATCATATTCACTGCCTTTAAAAACCATTCTATCAAGCATATTTTTTATACAAAATAGTTTCGATGTTTCACTTCTGCCAGGGCCCAGGCGTCCCGCGACGGATTTTTTTTTTATTGTTAAATATACCTAGATAATAGATTTTATTTTAAATGACAAAACAATTTAAAGGTAGGTACATTTTAAGCCGTACAATGCGCCCGGGAACTATTTTAAATGCAAAAAAAATCATCTGCAAACGCCACCGTCAGCCAGCAGTAGCTTGTATGAAATTAATAAAAACCTATTTACTATGACGCAAACTCTTAAAGTCATTCTAAATTCTATGATAATAATAGTCTTGTTTTTATTAGTATGAATAGTCATCATGATTGTAAGTTTAAGCTTAAAAATATATAATTAAAACCGTATAATTCTCATGAATCTTGTTAATCATGGCGGTCATCTCCAATTTTTGTCGATTATACAGACTTTAAAAAAAAATTAAGTGTCTATTTTCACATGTCCATCAAATAGTATTCAATTCAAGTATTTCCTATTAGGGTTGTTATTAACAGGCATTTTTACTATAAAAACTTTTTGCTACTAATTTACTCTTTAAAGGAGACTTTTTAAATGGTTTAGTTTCAAATTATTTTATTTCAATAAATTTATTTAATTTTCATAATGAATTTGTTCTTAGTAGGCTAGGTTTTCTGTTTTTTATAGATTAGGTACTACACTGGCGTGCAAAAAAATCGGGCCACCTAGAGAAAATGGACAAACTTAAGATATGATATTTTTTTATTAATTTTGTTATTATATATGGGTAGCTGTATACCCTAGGTACCTAAATCAATAATCGTTGAATAATTTAAATAAAAATTATTGCTCGAAAATAGAGGAAAATCAAATTTAATGATTTTTCGCGAGTTTGGTATAAAAATGTAAGCCGCAAATTAATGGGAAAATTAAAAGATTTCCATTGGTTTTATGATTTTTAATAATGCGTATTACCGCCTCTATTTTTAATTACAGCTTTTAATCGGTTTTTCAGTGATTTGACACACTTTTTTAGATAATCTTGTGTAATAGACTCCCATTCTTCCAATAGCGTTTTTTAATTCTTGAATGTTGCTCGGGACTACTACGCGACTTCTAACTTTCTTTTGAGATGGTCCCATACATGCTCTATCGGATTGAGGTCAGGGCTTCGCGCTGGCCAGGCAATAGTAAACACTCCGACCTCTTGAAGATACTGCCTTACTGATGTAGCAGTGTGAGGGCGAGCATTATCTTGTAGAAGCAGAAAATCTTCTCCAATGAACCCAGTAAAAGGCATCACATGATCTTCTAAAACCTCCGTTATATACCTAGCGGCTGTAAGGGATCCATTTTCTATGAATATAAGCTCGGTTTTCACTTCGTAACAGAATCCTGCCCAAAACATAACTGAGCCCCCTCCATATGACACTGTTTCCCGCATAGTGCATGGTGCATATCTTTTACCTGGTCGCCGGTAAACAAAATTACGGCCGTCGTCACCATGCAAACACATTCTGCTTTCGTCAGTAATAAGAACCTTCTTCCACTGCTCCAAATTCCAATTCACGTGATCTCGGGCAAAAAGTAATCTTGCAATTCAATGTGCAGGGGTGAGTTTGGAGCCAGTTGCGGACTTGCGTGGCGTCAGGGAAGCAGCTCTAAGTCGGCGCCTTACTGTCCACTCGCTAACATTAACACCTCTCACTTTTCTCAGGAGATTTCGAACGTCAACCCCTGTGCGATGACGATTTCTTAGAGCTGATGACACAATAAATCGATCATCACGCTCTGATGTGGCTCTTCGTCGGCCGAAACCATGACGTCGTACAAATCCACCAGTCTCTATGTAACATTTGTACACTCTCTGGGCCGTAGAACAGCTCACAGAAAAAACTTGACGTTGACTTTGTCCAGTTTCAAGCAGTCACAATTCGAGATGATTCAGCCTCGGTCAGATCCATCTTGCAGTATTTCTAATAATCGTAGATCAAAGTAGAAGTGTCTTGTTCAATAATTGGAACTCAACTAAGCTTCTAAAATAACAAAAAACAGTATTTGTGGCTTCAATCCATATCATGCAAATATTCACTAATTACTGCTAATTGACTATAATTAAGCGCACACGTGCATTTCCAGGAATTTTTTGACTTTTTTGAAGGAAACAAAGGCGTCTAATCTCCTTAATTACCTTTGCGGTATTTTTTTTCACCAAACAATTGTCAACAAAAAGTTATGCTTAAAATTAAGGGTGGCCCGATTTTTTGGCACGCCAGTGTATTTTAAAAAATAATATTTTTTGATTCATTAAATCGTAAATATTTACAATTTTAATAATTATTTAAATGTAGTAGGTACTGGCTTTTCTAGCCAGTGAGTATCACATAACCACCTGTCTATCACATAAGCAGGTGGTATGGTAGCCCAGTGGTAACGCACTCGCTTGGGAAACCGAGTGAAGCCGGGATTTGAACCCAGGTCTCGTACCTCTAATATTTTCATGTGCGAATCAAGTCTAACATGATTACTACTCGCCTTACGGTAAAGGAAAACATCGTAATGAAACCTGCATGTCTGAGAGAACTTAGCAAATTTTCGAATGACATGTGAAGTCCGCCAACCCGACTTGGCCAGCGTGGCTATGACCTGATCCCCCTCGTATTGAAGGG